ATATAAAAATATTTTTAGAATAAAAGGAAGAGTAGTGACTATAAATCAGATAAGAGTGCGCTATTAATTTTTATATCAAAGCATACTTGTATGAAAAAAATAATAAAATCTGTTTTAAAATATGGAAATGTATTACTTTTTAACATAAAATTTTATATTTTTAAATTAATTTATTTATTAATAAAACAAATATTTATACTAATTTATTACTTATAATTGTTTTTTAAAAAAATAAAGTAATGTATTAATTTTCAAAATTAAAGTTTAAGTAAATAAAATATTTTATTGAAAATTTCCAATCTTAGCTTAAGAAAATTTTTGTACTTTTTTCGAATTTCTGCTGCCCCCCTGCCCCCCCTTGGCGACGCCCTTGGGTATAAATATAAACATAAATACATTTTCGTTAAGGTGCAGGTTACAATTTTATTATTTTTTTTTCTCGAAAACTTGATTCGTTCGCATAAAAATAAGGAAATATTTAACGCATATTTGAGAGTTTTACGAGTAGTAAATAATTAACAAAACCACTTGTAAAAATAAATAAAAACTAGGAACTCGGCCGCCCGCTAGGAGAGCCGCGACCCGCCACTGGTTAAATATCACGCTGTTAGCTTAGTAAAAGTGAAATTCGTCAACAATTTCTAATGCGCGCCGCCTAATCACGCGTAAAATATCACCAAACCGTACAATCGAATAAACTTTTTCACAATCGGGATAATTAGTGCGTTTGTTCGACTCACCTTCCGCCCTTTCCGTCTTGTCGGTCATCTGGGTGGACGCTATCGAATGTTTCTTCTCTCTCTCCTGGGCGTTCTTGTTGAACATATGGGTTCTGAATGTCGGTCTCTCGGCGGGTTCATGGTTCGTTGCTTCCTTCCTAACGCTCTTGCTCTTTTCGAACTTCCTCTCCTCTCTGTCCCACCGCTCGCCGAGGTGGCGCGGGTCTATGGAGGTGTTGGTGGTGGACTCGGCCAGCTCCCAGCTGTCGCGCGACGCCCTGCCGTCGTGCTTGTCGCCGTCCGCCCCGTCCTTGGCCCAGCTGGCGGCGTCGTCGGCCGTCTCGTGGGTCAGGCTGCTCTGCACCTCCCAGTTGGCGCTGAAGGAGTTCCGCTTCGAGTTGTTCTGCATCACGCGGTTCTGGTGCACCCCGAAGGTGTCCCTGTCCTGGCGCTGGGCCATGAAGGACGATTCCCTGATCGGCTCGACGGGGGGCGGGGGCTGGTTGGGGCGGACGACCGGCGGCGGGGGGGCAGGGCCGGGCGGCGCCGGGGGAAGGGAGTTGGGGCCGATCGGGGGAGGCGGAGGGCCCGGTTTCCAGTTGGAGCTGGCCCAGCTTTGCTGGGTGGGCGATTTGGTGCCGTTGAGTGGTACCTATTGGATATCATTTTTTAATTTTGGATATTTTCTTTATATTTCTTAGTGAAAATGTGCACTTATATTTACATAACACTCTATTCCCTATCCTTTTTGACCTGTAGGTATAGAAAAAAACGATAAAGACTAAAATTTTAGGTTATGAACAAATCACTACGCTGATGACCTTGAGTTTGACCTCGGCATTAAATTTCAAGGTCAAACTAACGTTAACTTGAAAAAAAATGAAATCTAATTTTTAAGCTAGCAACAGAACACGAAATTTTACATCCGAATATGTGATCAGAAATTTTTTCGAAATGTCCTTGCATGTCATTTAAAGATCAAACAATTTTTTTTTCTGAATACCTCGACAAGATCGAGTAGTGGAGGAAAATGTTTCATACAAAATTTGTAGGATTTTAAATGACAAATTTGATGACCTTCAAACAAGTTGCTAGGTTAAACCAAGGTCAACTTGGAATCAAATGGAATACGCTATTTTCTATGCCAGCAACCAATATAACACCAAATTTTATGTTGGAATCTGGGATGGAAGAATTTTTCCAGGATGTCCTTGCAGATCATTTGAATGTCAAATTTATTTTTGAGAAAAAAATAATTAAAATAAAAGTAAAAAAAAATTTAATAGAAATATTCGACGGAAATTATTAGTATGGCATTGATATAATTTTTAAATTTAACATTTTTAGGTCAATAATTAAAATTTGTCGAAAAGCCATTCAGGAGGTTGATATCTAATCACCTGTTAACAGCTAATAGAATCCTATTTTGCATTACCATTACCTGTTTGACCTCCAAGTAACCTGCAAGGAGATACCGCAAAAAATTCGTATTTTTTATGTAAACGACAGCAGATATACACGGTGTCCCATTTTAAACAACGCGTTGCAATATCTTCCTAGGGATATTCGATGGTGACCTTGACCTTGACACAAAGGTCAAAGGTCATTTGAAGGTCAACTTGGATTTTTAGATATGATAAATGATTTCTGACAGCGGAAATGGATAGAGCGAAAAATTTTACGTTCAGATACGTCTTCATGTAATGTTAAAGAGTTATTTTAGGGTCAAATAAGGTTCTGAATAAAAATTTGCTATATTTTTCGGGAAAGCACTTACCACGAAAGATTCTGGTTGAAAGTTGCATGGATTGATGGGATCGTACACTGATGACCTTGATCATGACCTAGAGATCAAGACTGAAGGTCTTTGAAGGTCAAATCAAGTTACGAAATAGAAAAACCCTGTCTGCAGCCCCATTAAGTTAAGGCAATGTTTTTATGGCCCAGCCAGTCAAGAAAAGATGGCTCTAATCCAATCAGTCAAGGCAAGGTCACCATGACCCGGCCAACCGGGTCGAAGCGATCTTGCTTTGACTAGCTGGACCATAAAGATTTTGCCTTAATTTAATGGGCAAACAGGGTTCTCCTATTTTGTAACTTGATTGGACCTTCAAAGAACCTTCAAGCTTGACCTCTAGGTCATGGTCAAGGTCATCATCGTATGATTCCATCAAACAATAAATCTTCCAACCAAAATCCGTCGTCGTAAGTTCTTTCCCGAAAAAATATCGCAAAATCTTATTCTAAACCTTATTTGACCCTAAAATAACCCTTTAGGATCACTTTGACCCATAACATAAAGACATATCTGAATGTAAAATTTCCCGCTCTATCCATTTCCGGTATCAGAGATACATCTAACATACATAAAAATCCAAGTTGACTTTCAAATGGCCTCTACGGTTAACCTTTGTGTCAAGGTCACCATCGAATGTCCCCTCAAAACCTTACAACTTTTGTCTAAAAAGTTTCTCTTGTTAATGCTTCCCTAAAATGATATTGCGATATATATTAAAATCTGTAGGTTTCTCTCGCTCCCACACTCAGCTGCGAAAAGAGGCGTACGGTATTATCAAAAGGTTTTGTCACGAGCCGCGCAGCGGCGAGCCGAGGCGCCCGAAGGGCCGGCCCCTCGGTCCTTTATCCAAACGTAGTATTTTGAAGGAGATCTGTTCGCGCCTTCTCTTTGAAATTTCCACTTCAAAAAGAGTTCTCGCCGAAAATGAACTTTTTTCGGTGGGTGTGAGATACCCGAAGTATATCCGATATTTAAACAGAGATGGAGACAATCGTCAGTGAAGACGTCAAAATAATTTTTGTCATTTGACGCGTTTTCCCGGACGATCGGGCCACGGTGGGTCGTTACATTGCCGTTAGGCATCGGTTCCAATCTTTTTGAGAAGCAACTTTGGCAACAAAACGTGATTTGAACATTTTCAATTTTCTGTTTACATTCGCGAAGAACCAGCGTTTCAAATAGCCCGCGCAGGCTCCACCCAGCGTTAGATCGACGTAGTTCATTTTGTAAACTCACGACTGCGAAGCCGATGGTCCGGGTTTCGGCCGAAGGACCGAGAGAAAAGTCAAGTCCGCGCAAGCGAACCTACCTTTCTAGTTCTTTAAAACGGAACACCATGTATATAAAAAAAAAATTGTTTTCCACGTGACCTTATGCATTTGGAACCTCCAGAAACCAAATCTAGCATGGAAAATATTTGTTTTAATTACCAAAACCACTGGTAAAACCTGGGTTCAAATTTTCAACCCTTATTACTCTTCATCTTCGTGTGATCACAATATAATCATCTCTAAGTTCGAGAAATCAGCTAAAAATCTATATTCAGCGGATTCAAGTCGCAAACTCAAACGAATTTGCAGCCTGAAAGCAGCACGATCGACTCACCCTACTCATCTAACCTAACTTCCAAACTCACATACACTGCACAAAGTACGATCAACTCGGTTTCAGGGGTGGTTTTTGGGAAGTTAAAAAAATTAGAAAAAATGAAACCGTCCATCTTCTATGGTTCCTGGGCGTCAAAATATATAAGGTCATAAAGGTATCATCCATGGAACAGATCACTTTTTGTGTCTGTGTTATGTTTGAACAACGATTTCCAAAAATTTCTTATTATTGGAGTATTACTTACATGTGGAGGAGTTTCCGGGCTAGACTTCCCACTAGTATTCAGCGACTCGTCTCCCCACCTCCCAGTCAGCTGCTGCTCGAGCATCATCTTCCTCGTATCCTCCAACTTATTAATGTTCCTCCCCGGCTTGTCAACTTTGCTACTCGTGGACCTCACGGAATGATTAGCGGTGACCATTTCCAGTCTCTGCCTCATCTCCGAGCTCAGTTTGAGCTTCCCAACGCTCCCCGGGGAAGGCCTTGCAGCCCCTATGTCGAAGGCGCGCTTGGTGCTCGCCTTGGTCAGTCGTTCGTTCTCCCGAACCGTAGATTCGAACTCTACCTCCTCCCATTCCGCGGAAGACTGTTCGGTCTTGACGAAGCCGATGGCGTGGCCGTTGGTTATAGTGACCGTCTGTTCCTTGTTGGGCGTCACCTTGCGCTGGTGCTGACGCAGCTTGAAGTGCATGAAGTCCTCCCCGTTCTCCTGAGTAGCGCCGTCTTTCGGAGGCGGCCACCGCCATTTGCCTATGCGGACGGTCTTGGCGCGGCCGTAGGGGTCCATGAAGGGACGCACCTCGCTGGGATCGGTGCCGTCTAGTGGCGGCGGCATAGGTGGTGGTGGTGGTGGTGGGGGTATGCCGTTTCTGCTGATCATGCTCATGTTGGTCATGTTGGAATCGGAACTGGCTTTGCGCGACTTGAAATCGCTCGAAGAGTTCACGCTAGGGGAACTAATTTTTCTGTTGGCGCTGCTGACGGACTTGAAGCTGGCTTTCCTGTTGGGGCTCGAGGTGTTGGACTGGTGCACCTGGGCCTTCACCGTGGTCTGAATGGTTTCCGTGACTTTGACGTCCGTGGAGACGGAAGTGTTTTGTTGGGTAAGTAACTGTTGTAGGGCCTGGTTCTGCGCTAGCAATTGCTGTTGGATTTGGATGTTTTGGGCCATAGCAGACTGGAGAAACGCTCTTTGCAAATTCTGTTGGTACGCTGCTATGTCGGTGCCGTTCTGGGTGATGCCCACGTTAGGCATGTTGAACACGGGCATGAATCCATCTTGTGTCGGACTGAGTAAGGGCATCATCAGCGGCGCGGGGCTAACAATCGGCGCGGGGATAGAGGAGAAGTTGTAACTAGAAGTTCCGGCGCTGTTTTGGGTAGTCCCCCCACCTTTAATGCTGTCGACTAAGTTGTGTTTCTCGGTCAGACTCTTCAAGCTGTCGTTGATGAAAATCGGTCTGAACAGGTCGCTTATGTAATCGTCCACATTACCGTTGGCGTTAACCTTCGGCGTACTCTGACGGTTCTGAGCCGAAGTGAGGCTTTCGACTTCTTGGTCCAACACGGAGCTGCTCTGGCTGTCAGTTCTCGGTCTGTGTCCTCCACCTTTAATTTTAACCACTAGGTCGTCGACGTTCCACGTATCAACACCTGGACACTCCACACCACTTAACACCTCGTCCAGGAAGTCGTCTAGGCCCTCGATGTACTCCTCATTGCATCCACCTCCTTTAATACTAGCTGCTAAAGATCTGGCGTCACTGAGCTCGTCTAGATTCCCATCTAAAACCGGACTGAATAATTCGTCGAGGAACTGGTCAACATCAGAAGCTTGACTCGGCACCCGCACTCTTCTAACATGACTCGCCAAACTTGGGGCTTCGCTGGTGTCGGACATCGCCGAGCTCCTAACACCACTGAATTCAGACTTCTCGATGTGCGCCTTGCTGGAATGCGACCCAGGCGGTGCTTTCTTACCAGCGTACGCCGATTTGATGAATCTAGGACCGCCTCTGTGGGACGTGCTTACGCTGGACACATCTGGGTACTCGAAATCGATCTCCTGCTTCGACATATAGTTCTGGTTCGCTATGACTGGTTTGATGGGCGCCAGCTGCTCTACGGAGTGGTACCTTTCGTTTAACCTCGACGACTGACTTAGTCCTAAATCTGCCAGTGGGGTAGGTTCGGGTTCACTCAGAAGGTTATCCAGACTTCTGGACCGGGCCTTTTCGATGTCGAAGTATCTTTCGTTCAAGGCAGAGTTGCGAGACAAGGCTTCGTGCGACGTTTTCCTGGACGTGGGGGAGTTGAGAGCCACTGGAGATTCCCTTTGAGGCGAGTGGGAGTATTCTCGATGGGTATCCCTTGAGGATTTTCTAGAGCTGTGACGTGACGTTTGTATTTGAGTTGGAGGTGATTGTCTAGGACTCTGCCTCTCGCGTGTCATTTCTCTTGATATTTTACGAGAGATGTTGATGGGGGGCTCAGGTGGAGGTACTTGAGGCCTACTGGGTGATGGCAGGGACAAATGATGGTCTATTTCCACAGGAGAGTGTCTCTTGCCGGCTTTGAGCAAAGACGATTTGCCAACTGGGAACGCTGGACACAATTCCAGCTCTGAAACCAAGTCCATGATGTAGTCGAAACCGTTTCCTTCGGATATAATACCAGCGTCGTCCATAACAACTGTCCATCCTTCAGCTGATACACCCATTGAAGAAACTGCTAAAGCTGCAGCCTGAAAACAAAACAATGTAGATGTGATAGGGGAACAAGAGAAAAAAACTTACTTCCTCGCAAGTAGTCCAGGAATCGACATTTACTGTAGACACTGTACTGTCTGGAAGGGTCAAAGGTAAAGCCGTGTTCGACTTTTGGCGGATACTGCGCCATTCTAGAAGAGCTGGAGGAAGCGTCCTCGCATGCGGCGCTTTTTGTATGCTCCTGGTCAGTTTCCTTTGGAGGGTTTCTTTGATACTGGGTGGCGCGTAGTCTGTTATGAATTTCAACAGATACCTGAAGAATAAATAAAAATTAAAGAGTTAGGATCTAAAAACCACTATGATGGGACTTACTTGTACAACGGAGGACTTGGTTGGAAGCAGCTCAGACAATGGGCCATCAGCTGCCACACGCGTTCCGAATTTTCGTTCTTCCACGACTGATTGCAGAGCTGCACCAACAACTCATCCCTCAGTCCTTTGGAGTTCAACCCCTTGTGAATCATATAGTCCGCTAGGGCCCTTTCTCTAGCTCCGGTGAGTTGAGTATCGTTCGACCAGCGCAGGATCAACTTGAACAAGGCCACCGCGTCCTGGAAGTCCTGATCCCTAGCTGCGGCTTTGGAGAGGAAAGGCGCTGTGATAGGCTCCTTCTTCATATGCAGCTCGGCCCCTTTGAAATACACAGAAGAGAATTTGGCGAACTCGAACTGGTTCAGATCGTGAGGCAGGTTGAGGGTTGGGGGTGACCCGGTAACACCTCCCACCACCTTCACAAGATTCCGCTCCGAGTGCGGTGGAGAATACCCCTCCAGTTTCGAGAAAATAAAAGCCAGCTCCGCCGGTATCTCCAGGTGGTGCACGCTAGCCTTGGAATTCGCCGCCTTCGCGGCAGCTGCGGCGGTAGCTTTCTGAGCCTGCGCCTGCAACTGAGCCTCTCTAGCTGCCCTTTGCTTGGCCCGCTCCTGCGCCACTTTCTCCGCTTCCACCCTCCTCCTGAACTCGGCTTTCCGCTGCGCGAATTTCCTGCGTTCCAGCCTGCCCCTTACCAACGCCTGGGCCTTGATGACGCCCTTTTTGATCTTCTGGTACCTTCCGCGCTGTTGGTAACCACGCCAGTGTTTCTGGATGGTGACGGTGCTGCGCTTGAGGCGCCTATACCTTTTCCGGGCCAGATAACCGCGGATGTTCTTTTGTATTAAGACAGCGGCGCCCTTAAGGGAGTCGCCTCTGGCTTTCTCCAGCTGACGCTCCAAGCTCTCGCGGAGGAATACCCTGGTTGCGCCCAATTGGTAGTCAGGACCCTCTGGAAGTATTTTTATGGGTTGGTGTTTATCGTGACAAGCGAAATGATGTACTTACCAGTTCCTGAGGATGGCATTTGTTGCAGGATCGCACGACATAGGTCTCTAAAGGGCGCGCCTCTGGGTATTCCAGACAACAGATACCTGTAATAAAACAGTTCTATATTGCCCCAGAAGTAGTGTATAAAAATATTTAATTCATATCATCTTGTGTTAAATAATAGTAGTAAGTGGTTATATAAACCATACGGAAGTCTCCGCATTCTAGAACTAATAATTGCACAGAAACTGTAATTAACGCAGGTGTTTATGTGAATTAAAAAGTGTAGTTGTGTAACGTGTGAACTGTTTATTTTCCAGTTTTGTTGATAAATTATCAGCTTTTAGGTATAAATTTGAAAAAATGTTAAATGAAAAAGCGGGGCACTAAAGAAATGTTCAGTTCCGTGGATTTGGCGGGAAATTTAAAAATAATGTAACAGAAATAAAATACTTGTTTTAAAAACTAGTTTAAACGAAACATACTGCAGATTTACCTCTTTCCTATGCAATTTCGAACACACGTAAGTGCAAATAAACGATCATAGTTACTTTAGAAGCACTTTTAACTTTATATAATAACGCTTTTCTCCGTCTAAGCTCGCGGAAGGCGACTGTAATAGTAAACAGAAACAAATCCTGCTAGTGTGGAGTACGATGGTCATGATATGTCAAATGTCAGTCCCGCGTAAAAGTTTTGCATTCCAGCCAATAATTTTATTGTTTTTCCTCGGGCGCTTCGTTAGTTTGACCTCACAATAACAAACATTATCATTATTATCCGATCACGTAATGTAAAATAAACACACACCAATTACGTGATGAGAACAGTTTCATATTACACCTTCGTTATACAGTGTGTTAGAACTTTGACTGCCATTACTTCACAATAAAGTAGATTAAGAGTAGATGAACAAAAAAGTTGTATATGGGTCTAACATTCATAGATTCCAAAATGCGTTGAGTTGAGGAATTTTTATCACAACTTGACTTGAACAACGCGCGCCAGGCTTTGGTTTATAATGAGTGACACAAAATCCAAAGGTAAGCAATTATTGTGAAAATTGATAAATTTATAAGTGCTATGTCTAGGATTCCTTTCGACAATATATAAAATATTATGTTCTTCGGGATTCATGTGTCGGTTGGGGACTTGATTTTCAGACGAGGAACAACACTGACAATATCAAGTCGTGCTCTAACAAATTTGCAGCTAACCTTCCCTTAAATTAATAGCATATCGCGATACTCACATATGCTACATTTTAAAAAGCGGAGAGAGAAACTTCGACAAAAACTAACGAAACAGTGGCGCGCAAAAACACTTTCCACGGGCACGATTAAACTGTTAATACCAACTGATCGTACTTTATGGAATTTTATTGGATAATAAAATGAATTATTTTATTAAAGCCAAACAAAAACAAATTCAAAGTGGTAAACATTGTTGAGGATGGTGTTTTGTGCACATAATCCTGGTATGGTATTAACAAAATTATATGGTATGGTATTAACTAAAATCCTGGTATGGTATAACAAAATCCTGGTATGGTATTAAATTAATGGTATTAAATTAATGTTATTAAATTATTGGTATTAAATTATTGCTATTAAATTAATGGTATTGAATTAAAGGTATTAAATTAATGGTATTAAATTATATTATGTACACAAAATCTAAGTCTTGTACGTCAGCTTTGAAAATATGTTGGTCTTGTGACCTATATCATATACCAACTGATCGTTCTTTATCGAATTTTACTATTTAATAAAATGAATCATTTTATTAAAGCAAACATGAACAAATTCAAAGAAGTGGTAAACAGTGTATATGATGATATTCTGTTCACAAATTTCTGGTATGGTATTAACAAAATCCTGGTATGGTATTAACAAAAATATATGGTATGGTATTAAGAATAATCCTGGTATGGTATTAAATTAATGGTATTAAGTGGTATTATGAGCACAAAATCGAAGTCTTATACGTCAACTTTGAAAATATGTTGGGCTTGTGACCTATTTCATATACCAACTGATCGTTCTTTATATTTTATATATTTATTAGTTAATAAAATTNATTATTGTGAAAATTGATAAATTTATAAGTGCTATGTCTAGGATTCCTTTCGACAATATATAAAATATTATGTTCTTCGGGATTCATGTGTCGGTTGGGGACTTGATTTTCAGACGAGGAACAACACTGACAATATCAAGAAGACAAATGCGTCGTGTCCTAACAAATTTGCAGCTAACTTTCCCGTAAATTAATAGTATATCGCGATACTCACATATGCTACATTTTAAAAAGCGGAGAGAAAAACCTCAAGAAAAACTAACGAAACAGTGGCGCGCAAAAACACTTTTCACGAGCACCAATTAAACTGTTAAATACCAACAGTGTGCACATAATCCTGGTATGGTATTAACAAAAATATATGGTATGGTATTAAATTAATGTTATTAAATTATCGGTATTAAATTAATGGTATTGAATGAAAGGTATTCAATTAATGGTATTAAATTGTATTATGTGCACAAAATCGAAGTCTTGTACGTAAACTTTGAAAATTTGAAAATATGATGGGCTTGTGACCACCAACTGATCGTTTTTTATCGAATTTTACTATTTAATAAAATTAATCATTCTATTAAAGCAAACATAAACAAATTTAAACAAGTGGTAAGTGTATATGATGGTATTCTGTTCACAAATTTCTGGTATGGTATTAATAAAATCCTGGTATGATATCAACAAAAATGTATGGTATGGTATTAAGAATAATTTTGGTATGGCATAAATGGTATTATGTGCACAAAATGGAAGTCTTATACGCCAACTTTGAAAATATGTTGGGCTTGTAACCTATTTCATATACCAACTGATCGTTCTGCCTCGAATTTTACTATTTAATAAAATGAATCATTTTATTAAAGCAAACATAAACAAATTCAAAGTGGTAAACAGTGTATATGATGGTATTCTGTTCACAAATTCCTGGTATGATATTAACAAAATCCTGGTATGGTATTAACAAAAATGTATGGTATGGTATTAAATTAATGAGATTAAATGGTATTATGTGCACAAAATCGAAGTCTTATACGTCAACTTTGAAAATATGTTGGGCTTGTGACCTATTTCATATACCAACTGATCGTTCTTTATCGAATTTTACTATTTAATAAAATGAACCATTTTATTAAAGCAAACATAAACAAATTTAAAGAGCGGTAAACAGTGTATATGATGGTATTCTGTTCACAAATTCCTGGTATGGTATTAACAAAATCCTGGTATAGTATTAAATTAATAAGATTAAATGGTATTATGTGCACAAAATCGATGTCTTGTACGTCAACTTTGAAAATATGTTGGGCTTGTGACTTATTTCATATACCAACTAATCGTACTTTATCGAATTTTATTAATTAATCATTTTATTAAAGCAAACATAGACAAACTTAAAGAAGTGGTAAACAGTGTATATGATGGTATTCTGTTCACAAATTCCCGGTATGATATTTAACAAAATCCTGGTATGGTATTAACAAAAATGTATGGTATGGTATTAAATTAATAGTATTAAATGGTATTATGTGCACAAAATCGAAGTCTTATACGTCAACTTTGAAAATATGTTGGGCTTGTGACCTATTTCATATACCAACTGATCGTTCTTTATCGAATTTTACTATTTAATAAAATGAACCATTTTATTAAAGCAAACATAAACAAATTTAAAGAGCGGTAAACAGTGTATATGATGGTATTCTGTTCACAAATTCCTGGTATGGTATTAACAAAATCCTGGTATGGTATTAACAAAAATATATGTTATGGTATTAAGAATAAACCTGGTATGGTATTAAATTAATGATATTAAGTGGTATTATGTGCAAAAAATCGAAGTCTTGTACGTCAACTTTGAAAATATGTTGGGCTTGTGACCTATTTCATATACCCACTGATCGTTCTTATCGAATTTTACTACTTAATAAAATGTATCATTTTATTAAAGCTAAACATAAACAAATTTAAAGAAGTGGTAAACAGTGTATATGATGGTATTCTGTTCACAAATTCCTGGTATGGTNCTTGATTTCCACGTCGGAACCCACTTCCACGCCTTCCTGACCATGCCTTCGAACGTCATTAATTATTTATTTGTGAGCATGGGAAGAGGATTGAGATTCTTGTGTGTTTGTATTCGCGCATAATCAGTATTGATGAAATTCCTTCTTTAAATTTACATCTTTTACTAGACAGGGGCTCCAAATTTGGTACAGACATCGCTACTGGATTTTAAAGATCGTTTTGAAGGCTTGGTTGGATTAAAAATGACTCTAAATTTATTTAAAGCCAATAATGACACTGAACAACTACGTCTTAAAACTTAACCATAAAAAGATGAGCGGATTTTGGAAAGTGAGCTTAATTTTTATTCTGTGAATACGGAATTATGAAAAAGACAAACCTTAACTGCCTCCTGTGGAAGTAGACGTTCCCCAGGTGCAACACGGAGGCCAATATCTTTATAATAGCTTCTTGTTCAGCCTCTCCCACGCCAAGGACCTCCATTGCCCTTGTAAGGGCTCCCCAGTCAGCTCCCGAACCGGAATGACCCGGTGCACAATCACCACCTCCTAAAAGAAGCAAGCTTGATGAAGTATTCCATCATACTCCATCAAGTTTCGCCCAAACTCACCTTGGTTCAAGTAGAAATATTTATCCGGCTCCACCAGCCCGTATTTCTGCCTTTCCGTGTTGTTCAGTCCACCTAGGAGCTCGTAAAACACGTGGTAGTTCCTTTCCCCCGGGGCCTGGGTGACGATTCTGGACTTTTCCAGCAAGTACTGAGTGACCTTGGCGCCTATGATGGCGCCGTTCTTGAAGTAGACCTCCAGGTACTTGCCGAATCTCGAACTGTTGTCATTCCTGGTGGTCCTCGCGTTACCGAAGGCTTCCAGCAGGGGCGCGGCTTCCAAGATTTGTTCCGTCACCAGGGCTTGGCCTCTGGGTGCCGAAGGCGCTACCGCCGCGAGGTACTGCATCACTAGTTTCGTGGATTCAGTCTTTCCGGAGCCGCTCTCGCCGCTAATAACGACAACCTGAAATTATTGTGAGGGGTTAACTGATAAACACTTACATTCCGAGGAGTTTGCCATCTTTTGAATATTTCTGAATAATTCTAACAATTGACTCTTGATTCTTAAGGCAGGTCTGACAGTTTGATTTGTGGTAAATACTTTTACGCTGTTCACAACGTTTTGCATAAAGGGGAAACTTAACTTTTCCTTACCGAATTATACGGTCAGAACAGTATTAGAAACTAAAGTTCACTGTTGCACAAAAGTTGTGTATTTTGTTGTAAAAAATAGTTACTTAGTGTTTCAAAAGACCACTGTGCGTTGCTGCTAAATGAAATATTTGCATAATGTGTTTTGAAAGCATGTAACTGAAACGACTGTTTTATTTTCTTTCTTTTTTTTTAATATGATTCCTTAGTAAAACTGAACAGGTGTAGAGAAATTTTTGAAATAGAATCAACATAAAACAACGATAGGTAATATTGATTCACTATTGTTCATTTTTTTGGGCACCCGGTACAGAATTTAAGGAAGTTAAATCCACCTAATATATGTAAACAAATTCAACGCAAATTTGTATAATTACATACTTGTTAATTGTGTTATGTAACATTGACCAGCTTTTAATCCAAAAGTGTGTCTGAAAGTAATGGTAGGAATCTTTCTCTGATATACATTCTCTTTCAAGAACTGTTGTTACATCGTAATGTCGTAAAACGTATTAGTAAATAGAGAAAAATGGGTAATTTCGAGGAAATTGACTTTCTAATGTGATATACAGGTGACGTAGGTAATAAAAAAATATGTCAAAAATGTTCTTTGATGATGAGGCGTATTAATATTGAACGTAAATTCTTTAATCAGTGGCAAACCAGCTGTTATAAAAAATACCATAATATATAATTCTTTTTGCGTTACGCCTCTTTTGTGTGTATACAGGGCGTCCCATAATTAGAGTGTAATACTTTAGCAGTAGATTCTACGATCAAAAATAAGATTATTTTTTCCTATAAATAAGGGTCGAAAATGCTAAGGGCTAAGGAAGCTACGCCCCCCCGAAAAGGGGCCTCAGGAGATATATTTTTCAAAATATTTTCAAAACCAGTTAATGTTGTGCAAAAAACAAACGCTTAGGAGGGGAATTCTGGAAGAAAGCCTAAATAGTTGAAGTGAAAATGAGAACAGTGTGGAGATGGGAGGAAGATGATCGGCGGACATCTGTTATAAAAAATACCATAATATATCATTCTTTTTGCGTTACGCCTCTTTTGTGTGTATACAGGCCGTCCCATAATTAGTGTGTAATACTTTTACAGTAGATTCTACGATCAAAAATAAGATTATTTTTTCCTATAAATAAGGGTCGAAAATGCTTGCTAAGGAAGCTACGCCCCCCGAAAAGGGGCCTCAGGAGATATATTTTTCAAAATATTTCCAAAACCAGTTAATGTTGTGCAAAACCATACTTATCGTATCAACTTCGACGTCACCTGTTACGTGGGTGTTGTATAATAATGAAAACGTAATATCGACAGTTGGTAGAAGGAAGCGCAAAAAACAAACGCTTAGGAGGGGAATTCTGGAAGAAAGCCAAAATAGTTGAAATGAGAATGAGAACAGTGTGGAGATGGGAGGAAGATGATCGGCGGACAGTGTGACAAAATAGTGAAAAATTAAAGCGATTAACCCGTATTATAATTCTTTAATTACTTTGTTGTTAATTGTTCTATGAAATCTTATGATTGTGATGGTTATAGATGTTTCATGATCATAATTCTTTGTATGCTTAGTCTCGATTGCTTTATGCTCAAGGGCATATATTTTCCTAAGATAAAACTGTTACAATTATTATTAGTGATTGCTCATTATTTATTACATGTTAAAATATGTATATATTGTCGCGACTGTCCAGATATTGCAATAACAACTTGTTTGTTTCACATTTAACTTGTTTTATCATGATTACGTTCGAAAAACAACTAATAAAGCATTTCTTGTGCTCACTTTATGTCAAGACGCATATAAGGGCCTTGTTGAATTCACTAACACTTTCGTCCTTGAAAACGAATTTGAAAAAAAAAAATAATTAAATACAAAAAAAGAATTGCTAAAACATATCTTCCGAAATCTCAACTATAGCTGGATTGCCTCCCGTATGGGACTCCAGTACCTTCCGGCCCTGCCGGCTAACTAACACCAAACCTCTTCAGTTTTACTTGGAAGTGTGTATGTCTAATTNTCTAAGATCAAAAATAAGATTATTTTTTCCTATAAATAAGGGTCGAAAATGCTTGCTAAGGAAGCTACGCCCCCCGAAAAGGGGCCTCAGGAGATATATTTTTCAAAATATTTCTAAAACCAGTTATGTGGGTGTTGTATAATAATGAAAACGTTATATCGACAGTTGGTAGAAGGAAGCGCAAAAAACAAACGCTTAGGAGGGGAATTCTGGAAGAAAGCCTAAATAGTTGAAGTGAGAACAGTGTGGAGATGGGAGGAAGATGATCGGCGGACAGTGTGACAAAACAGTGGAAAATTAAAGCGATTAACCCATATTATAATTAGCAAGTAATTATTCTTTAAGTACTTTGTTGTTAATTGTTCTATGAAATCTTATGATTGTGATGGTTATAGATGTTTCATGACAATAATTCTTTGTATGCTTAGTCTCCATTGCTTTATGCTCAAGGGCATATATTTTTCTAAGATAAAATTGTTACAATTATTATTAGTGATTGCTCATTATTTATTACATGTTAAAATATGTATATATTGTCGTGACTGCCCAGATATTGCAATAACAACTTGTTTGTTTCACATTTAACTTGTTTTATCATGATTACGTTGTTCAAAAAACAACTAATAAAGCATTTCTTGTGCTCACTTTATGTCAAGACGCATATAAGGGCCTTGTTGAATTCACTAACACTTTCGTCCTTGAGGCACGAATTTGAAAAAAAATAATAATTAAATACAAGAAAAGAATTGCTAAAACAGATCTTCCGAAATCTCAACTATAGCTGGATTGCCTCCCGTATGGGACTCCAGTACCTTCCGGCCCTGCCGGCTAACTAACACCAAACCTCTTCAGTTTTACTTGGAAGTGTGTATGTCTAATTCGAGCGAGGTGATATTTAGTGACACATTAAATGAGTCGGGTTAATTATAATTAGCAAAGGATCTTAATTTATGCCTTTTGTTAGCGGTTGTTTTGTATTTATATTTGGGTAGTTAGAGCAACGATCGTGGGTTTCTCTGCCATGCTCTTTCCCCACAGGAGCTCTAGGTGAGCCTGGCACTCTCATTTTACGTTAAATGGTTGTTAATGTTTTTGTTGTTCTTTCTATTTGTCACATGTTTAATTTGAAGACTGTTGTATGTAAATAATAAAGTTAGGTGTATTTACTCTGTTTTTGTTTTATAAAATTAAACCATACTTTCCCTCTTTAAAGTTAGTAGTCAGTGCCTTCCGGTCAATTAAAAAAATAGACGTATACAACGTAGGTATTCTTTTTTTTGGTCGAACCCGGGGTTGTTATACTACAATGTATCATTATGAATTTTGGTATGTTAGACACTCAATGAGTGTTCTAACGAACTACAAGAAAATTGTTTAAACATTTTAGTCAGGGGTATCTCAGGCAGGGGGGCTCACGCATAAAATGCTCCCCCAATTTTTTGCATTTATTTTAAACATCAAACTATCATAGATATGAGTTTTGCACAAAAAAATGTACTCTTGATTTACTTCGATAAAATGCTTCGTTTTCGGGAAAAGTCGATTTTAAAGTTCTATTACATAATCTCAAGAATGGAAAAGGATTACATGAATAGGTAGGTAGGCCATGAAAACAAACGTTTGTTTATTTGAATTAATTTGACAGATTATTAAACTTAAATGTTTGCTTTCACTTTACGGTGCTGTATTGGATATTAAGTAAAATTTAAAGAAAAAATGCAGAACTTTAATAATAATTTTAATAGACATTCATTTTGTGTATGGATTTTACAATGGGAGAGCACTAGCGGCATCAAAGAAATGCCAACGGAGATACCCGCATCGGAGGCAACCTGGACATAGAATATTTTCTACGGTCCATAGACGATTAACGGAAAATGGATCTTTTAAAAAATTGTGCGGTCAAGGAAGGCCACCAAATGATAATAATTTTGAAAATGCCTTAAAATAATTTGATGATCATCCTAAAATCAGCATCCGCGCAGTGTCAAGAGCCACTAATATTCCACGAACATACGTAATGAGAAATGTAAGAAACGTGTATTAAAACTAATCCAAAGCTCTCATTTTAGCTTTCACGAATGTCGAGGCCTTCGATCGAATTTTCTCAGTGGATCATTAATAATGAAAATTTGCTTACATTAATTCTCTGGACCGATGAGATGACTTTCACCAGAAATTGAGCTCTTAATTTTCACAATACCCACTGCTGGGCAATTCAAATGACAATTCGAAGGTAGTTCGGCGTAATAATTTTCAACAGAGGTTTTCAGTTAATTTGTGGACGGGGATTATCGATAACGAATTAATTGGACCTGTTGAAATTTCAAATTTTCGAAATAAATTGTTTAATATATTGGAAGATCTGTCAATATTAGAGGAAACATGTACTTTCAGAACGATGGAGCTTCAGCTCATAAGAGTAGGAATGTGAAAAACTAGTTGAACGAATATTTTCCAGAAAGGTGGGTTGTACCAAGCGGTCCCATTGCCTGGCCACCTCGTTTACCTGATCTTAATCCTCAACATTATTACTTATGGGACATTTAAATAGTATCGTTTATAACACCGAAATGGATACTAGAGGGGAATTAGTAGAAAAAATAAATTTGGCCTCTAATATGCTAAGGAACAATGAATTTGAAATTCTTCGTACCTCTCATCTTATCACCTTATCTGGAACCCAAGGAACTGAGACAAGTGTCAACAAGGAAGCTTTTGGAGTTTGTCAAAAGGACAAAACTACTTGCTGAATAGGACTAGTAGTGGGACGCATAATAATAGGCCTAATTAAAATTACTAAAAATTTAAGTTTATATTAATCTGTCAAATTAATTTAAAAAAATGCTGTTATTTTCATGGCCTACCTACCTATTCATGTAATCCTTTTCCATTCTTGAAGTTATGTAATAAAAAATTAAAATCGACTTTTCTCGAAAATGAAGCATTTTATCGAAGAGTAAATCAAGAGTACATTTTTTTGTAAAAAACTTATCTCTATCATAGTTTAATGTTTAAATTTGAAAATATTGACATGCAAAAAATAGGGGGCATATTTTACGCATGAGCCCCCCCGCCTCAGACACACCTGACTAAAATTTTTAAACAGTTTTCTTCTAATTCGTTAGAACATTCATTGAGTGTCCAACAAACCAAAATTCATAATGGTTAATTGGTTTTCGAAATATTTTGAAAAATATGATCTCCTGGGGACCCTGAGGCCCCTTTTTTGTTTATAGGAAAAAATAATCTTATTTTTGATCGTAGAATCTACTTCTCTAAAGTATTGCACACCAATTATGGGACACCCTCTATTCGCACTAATAAAGGTGATGAGCCAAGTGAAAGGTTACTTGTCATCGAATATTTTTCGTGTTAGTCGGATGAAATAACAAAAAGAATTCTTTAATACACGTGTTATACGCGGACAAGCGGAATTTGATCAAGCTGTAAATGATGATCATTCCCTTGAATTTGCTATTAAACTTGGTATTAAAAATGAAACAGCAAGCAACAAATAGCGCATTACATTTCAAGTAGCAAATAACCGATGGCAGCTATTACTACCATTATACCTGTGGTGATGGCAAAGCAGAATACGCGGCCGCCCCCAGGGCGAACAGGTGGGGCGGCAGCTCCCCTATCATCCTCCCCTTGTACCTCTGCGCGGACTCGATGCCGTAACTTCCATCGAACATCCTGTAGGGGTTGACGGCCACCAAGATGCTGCCGGCGTAGGTGTAGATGAGGTTGCGGTCGTAGCGCAGCTTCAGGTTCCAAATGAGGGCGGCTTCGTGGAGCTCCGTCAGCTGGATCATATCCTCGACGCCGCCGGGACCGAGGTCCTGGCGGCGCCGCACCTGGCCTTCCCCTTCGGCCAGGGCGAAGGTCTGGGCCTGAAACGAAAGCAAAAGGGTTAATAATTTTAATAAATGTACTTTAATTTTATTAAATGTAGGTCTCAGTATTTCCAAGTCTGAATAATGTACACGTTTTGCTCACAGATGACAAGATAGAGTAATTTATGCCAAAACGGACTGTGAAAACTGCAGGTTTCTAACTCTTACGGTTCAGACGCTATCTAGCCTCATTTAGAGAGCTGAAATCGTGATTTTTTTCAAAAACAACTGATTATCTCGAAAAGTTACGTTTTAAACACCATGTACATTAATAAACTCTATCTAATATTAATCATGTAATTCAAAAACGCAATAAAATACAGTTCCATTTAAAATAATTTTAAATTTATGTAGCGCCCACGCGAAATGGAACACCCTGTAAAGCTAAAAATATTTTCTTTCCATGGCCCACATGATTCCAGGCAACTATTATGAAAACCATTTTTTTATAAAATTTACAGTTGCAGAGTTACAGAAGAATCCCTCTTAGGTGGAACATATACCAAAGCGACCGTAGATTTGTGAAGATAATCTAGTTTCTATCAAAATTCACATATCTATTTGTTGTTCTATACAAGGTGTGCGTAAATTAATGTTACATTACATAACAATTTTTGGAACCTTCTAAAATGTTACGCCTATGGAAGTCTACGTGTTGAAAATTAGTCCATGCGTGCTATTTTGGTACATAGGGTACGTCAGCTCTTCTGTAGCATAAGTTAAACTTTTATCCTTATTAGATCGAAGTGTAGTATACATATTTCGATGTTTTTTTACGTTTTCCCATAACCAAGCACAAAAATTAATGACCAAAAACGACGATGATGTCATAGTCGCGACATGTGGGACACAAGACGCCTCATCTTTCAGCCGGAACCGAAATACTACTTTTTATAATTGCACTACGATGTCGTCATGGTAATTGTCTTCCTCGATCTCGGCGTAAATCATATCTTCATCTACGAGTTGCACAACAAAACAAAGGGATTACAAAATATCCAACAAAGTATCAAATGGGTTGGGTTCCGCCTGTCTGAGTCACCGGCTCGTCTGAATATAGGGCCTTCTACACATTTTTAAAGTCTGCTTTGTCTGAACCTAGACGAAGTAACTAGCTGCTAACGGCAGACAGTTTTAAAGGTCATCGGTATTGGCGGACAATGTGAGGCTGTTAGCTCATATTTATAAGCAATTAAATAATGACTGCTTTCAATGATATTTTAATTTGTTTTGAAAAGGTCAAGATCTATGTAAATGGTCACAGAGACTTCAAAAGCTGCTAATGGAAAAGGTAAAAAAAAATATCACGTTACAATGAAAAACAAGATTTCTGCTTCTAGTACTGGAAAAGATAAATGATAAAAACAGAAACACATAAAAATATATTTCCGAAAATTCGTTACGCTGTGTATATCCATAACCTGAAAACATCCAGTGATGCCCTGGTTTGTCTCGTATTATGAAATAGTGCCGAGCTATGTAACCATTCCGAACGAATTAGCTAACCATAATAAAAAATAAATTGGTAACAAATTCTTCGGCATACTCCGAGATCGTTGCCTTTCACTTGTCGCTTTGTACGAGATTTTATTTGTAAATCTTGTGGGAGCCTGCGACAATTATCCATCGACAATTTTGAATTGGGGCTCAATCGGTAATTTGTACAGGACGAACGCCGTTTCGGTGCAAGAAATCGCATAACGAGAAGTTAAAAGTAGAAGCATTTTAAATGGAAATGGCGGAATCAAAATAAAAAACCATGTGAAGCAATACGTATCAATATAGCGTCTCTACTCCAGTAAGGATACGGTTGATGTTTTGATATTTGACTGTTTCGAAACAGCCAAAAAGTGCAGTTCTACTTCATCAATTACCAGTGAGGTATCTAAGCGATTAATTATTTTATAAATCGATTATTATTCGATTTTCCTGACAGGTGCTCAAGCAGATAAAATGAATTTGTACTCAAAAATCGATTAGATTTTAATAAAATCAATTGTATGCATAAGAAATATTGTATATTCAATTTATTGTTTGTCACAGTAACATTATTGTTAGTACTAGTACTATTAATTATTCTATTCTTTTTTGCAAAATGAGAAAAAAATAAGTGGATACTAACAGTGCTTGTTGTAAGCACTTCAGTTAACGTTAATTGCAGAATACCACTCACTTTGTGTTGTAATATTAAATAAAGTTTATTTTGCTAGTTTGTGTCAACAGTTTAATAGCTATTTCAGGGTTGCCGCTATGGAGAACAACGAAAAGATGACATTAAAAAGCATTCTGTCAAGTCATTTCGTGTTATAGTTATTTATGGTACTAATGTGTTACGGTATATGTAAGTCACGCTGGGAAATGTTTAACTAATTTTCCCAAGTGACTTATATGACGTAACACACGAGTACCATACAAAATTTTATCCAACACTTTCATAGAATTTTGTTTTAATAATAAAAGTAACTTACAATTTCAAGCTGTCAATACAGAAATAGTAATTTAACGAAATGAATGTAATTGTAAATATTACAAAGGATGCGAGTGTCAACCTAAATTGTCTGTAACCAAGGTTACCAAGGGTTGTCAGTAAACAAACATTATTTTTTGAGTTAAAATCACGTTAAAATCCTAAAACCAAGACTGAAAAAATGGAAAATGTGGAAATTCCATCTGAAATTTTAGAAAAAGCTACTGCGGCTACTGTAGGCATCATTCCGGAGAAATCAAAATCTATATACAACAAAGAACTGAAGGAATTTCAAGATTGGCAAAACAAAGAAGGGGGAGAGGCATAAATGAAGATGTCTTGCTGGCTTATTTTTTCAAATTAAGTGAGAAATTATCTCCATCCACATTGTGACTAAATATTCCATCCACATTGTGACTAAATATTCCATGTTGAGAGTTTACAAGAACATTGAAATCTCGAAATTCGGAAGACTAGTGGCATTTCTAAAGTCTAAGCAATTAAATATTTATAATAATAAATATTTTCGACCAAAAATCGACCGAATTTTTGCGTGAAGCCCTAGATGAAGATCATCAATTTACCACAATCACAAAATGATTCCAATAATCCTTTGGCATCAAATTACGGTTTTACCATAAATGTTAATGTTAATATTAATAAGTAGGTAGATTGTAAGTTTGTAGCATTTTAGGTTATTTGTTGACTTATTTCAAATTGGTTTTCTAATAAAAACTAGAAAAATAAACCAAACATTTGTCCTTTTATGATTTCTGTAAGTTACTAGTGGATTATAAGTCATAAGTCAACTTATGACTTATAACTCACTAGTGCCACATTATTCCTTTAAAACCAAAGGAATTATAGTATCATTATATACGTGTTGGATAAAAGTACTAAAAACGTAAAAATTCGTAGATAAATGATGTCAGCGTTTATACAGGGTGTTACAAATTAGTAGATAAACCACTTAAGCATATATATTTTGGACTAAAATAATAGGACTTTTCTTATACCACTTTTCAATTCCGAGACCCATTTTCAAGATATAGGAAGCCAAAATTAAAATTTAAAAAATGATTTTTATTGAAAACTCCGGTGATTGCAGAGATATTTATTTGAAATTTGGCACATATTTTGATCTTAAGTCGGCACACTTTTTGTGTAATTTTGGTTTAAAATATCAAAGCGCGAACGGAGGGAAGGGGGTTGCAGTACCCATGGACCCCTATTTTTTTTTGGAGTACGCCTATGCTTTCCGAATATTTTTTTTAGATATAGCGACGTTTTATTCTATTTTTTACTCTTGTAAAATTTTTATTTAGGGCCTCATTTACTAGATATACAACGATTTAGTCACAGTCATGACCTTTGTAAACATTTATAAAGGGTATTTATATACAAATATACAAATTTTGTGAAATTTGGAAAGTTTTCCCACAACGTCTTCCCTAAATTTTATGACATTTCACGAAGCGAAGCCACCAACTCGGCAGTAACGAAAACATAATGGATTTCTGGTAAAAGTAAAACTCTTTGCACATGTCCATTCTGTGAACTATGCCCAATAACCAGCGCGAGATCCGCAAGAATTATGTTTCACAATTAAGCAAGCTGAACCAGGACCATTAATTAGTGTTTATTAAAATCGCCTTTCTTCTCACATTAAGTGGTAATACTTTCACATGAGAAAATGTGCTGTCTGCACAATACCTGCGGCATATTGCTTTAGAAGAGATGTGTGCGTTTTCCAAGTATTCCATTAAAGTAAATACCACGCATGGTGCAGAATAATCGAAAACCGTTGTTAATATTTCAGGTTCAGCTCTAGATATTTCAGTGTAAATAAGGCAAATGCGATTAGGTACATGCCTAGATAGTTTAAACATCATATCGTAAGTAATATGAAACAATTTCAAGACATTAGCATATAAAAAATAGTCATTAATATATAAATCAAAGCGCAAAGGCCCTAAAACAAGACTTTGAGGAACGCCAGCTCCATCACGCTGGACAGATCCGTAATCACCATTGTTTGTTTCAGTTTTTTAACGTTATAGCTTTTTTATAAAGAGTTCATATTGCTCCGCGTATCTTTACTTGATTATTTTAGTCGTAGATTTTAACTGACGACCAAGCAGTTGCAGTATGTTAATCCAAACTAAGCGCAATTTGGCAAGGATTTCGAGTTTGGATTGAGCAAGGCACCTCATATAATAGCAGAGATTTAATGTGTGATATCGAACTAACAATATGCGTGCCTAACCCGTATTATCTCCCATCATGAAATTTCGAAACAATAGATGCAAACTAAGTAAAAAAAATACTTTCTAGTGTCTTCCCAACGACGATTCAGATATTATTAAGAATCGCAACTACATACAGTCGAACATTTACAACAGTTAATGTAGAATTGGTCACAAGACTAGGGTTGGTTTTTTGTCGTGAGGCAATTCTGGCACCCGTTTTCAAGGTCATGGCTTTTTGTGGTCCATCAGATTGAAGTTAAACAGTTTAACGCTGATTAGCAACGAAATGAGTAGCTTAAGCAGGAGCTTTGACCACAAAAGAAATGGTGACGTTGTTTCAAAGTAATACTATCGCTTCTCTTCGAACAAAATTCAAATTTCAAATAATACAATTTCAGACTAACACGATACAAAATATAGATCTAATCCGAGGATTGCACTACATTTTTGTATTGGCACAACAAACGATCTTATCTTATTCATTGACAAACATTCCATTTAAGTTGAATGGGCACAAAAGCGTTCGCGACAAAATATTATTTGGACCGCTTTCCGAGCCAGTGGGTTTTGTGAATAAATTACGGAAAATCATCGCCGCGGAATAAGAAATATGTCACGCAATAACTGTTTCGACTGGGTGGCCGAATATCGGAAGTCCTTTGAATACTGAATAAACGGTTTCAGTGAAAGCTTTTCATAGCTAGCGTAACACAAAGGCGTAAATATATTTTTGTAGGAGCAGCAATATACAGAGTGATCCATTAACAACAAGTAGGGCCAAAAGAAATTGATTCAAAATATTGTCAAGTTTGTAACTTCACCACTAGAGGGCGCAACTGCTATATAGTGTTACAGATAATTGTCGGTTTTTTGAAATTTCGCTTATATAACCCAGGTTGAAAATACACGTTTTAGATACACTGTTCAACCCTTTATAAGTTTTGTTTGAACTTTTTTTTTGTTATTACCATAGCAACGCCAGTATAAATGACGCCATCTTGAAATTTTTAAATTGTCATAACTTCTAAATTCCTTAATCGATTTCAATAAACGACGTCTCATTTTAAAGAACTATTAATAAAATTTATATTTATGATATGGGAATAGAAATATTATTTTCCTGCGCAACGGTAGACGACGCTAATTAGAAAAGTTTTGTAATTGTTTCCGTTTACTACAAAAATTAAATTCAACAATATAGTTTTTTTTTCATAGCTTGATAGACCATTTATTAAGGAAAACAAATACACAAACCGGAGGTCGATATCTTCTTTCGTTTTCAAGTTATTGCTAAAATAGTGAAATTGTGCTATCATCCTCCTTTATTTAGTTCTTTGACATAGTCCAAGTCAAAATTAAATTGTAAAACTATACCAAAAAAGTACTTGTTATATTTTGAAAACCGACAATTTTCTGTAACACTATAGCAGTTGGATCACCATGTATTTCTCGAATGAATATACATAAATTGTGACCAAGGGACTTAGTAAAACACATGAGGAAATAAATTTGAACAATGCGTTCTGAAAACTCAAAATATTTCGGAGATTTTGCGTAAAAAATTGTGAAAACCTTTTCAATATCATTTTATATTTGGGCTACCCTGTATAAGCAACAAATTAAAAACTTTCATGAGGTGTCTGGTATGTAGAAAGGCTGTATAGGGTGATTTAATGGGAAACAGTTCCGGTGAGATTTCTTATAAATAATAAGCTTCGTTTTCGAAATATAGATTGTAGATATTAAAAAAGACATTTTGGAAATATCTCTGAAGATGTTTAATAGACCAGTGCGGATCTGTCGAAATATCCCATTTCATGGATGTAAGAGGGGGCAAGCTAATTTTTGCTGGAATACCTTCAGTACAACTCACATAATGAAAGTGTAGATAGCTAGATCTGGGCAAGGTCCGAAACATGTTCAAAATTGCAAAAATACCTATATTATCAGAGTTTTTTACTTATATCTTGGAACATATGCATTTTGGAAGAATATTGAAGAGAAAAAAAGTTTTAAAATTGAATTTTGCACAATATACTGCAAGTTAAAAATGTTTAAATTTATTACCGATGTTGCAAAATATGCAAAATAATTGATGAAAAAAAGGCAAAATTATCAAGGTTTTTTTGGATAATTTTTATAAATATTATAATTGCTTCGAGAGCATTCTAATTTTGGTAAAAAAACTTGGTGTGCTGTTTTATTATACTCTAAAGTTTTTCTTACCCAAATTAGAATGCCCTCGGAACAATTAAAATATTTTTAAAAAATTATCCAAAAGAACTTGATTATTTTGCCCTTTTTCGTCAATTATTGCTATTTTGCAACATCGGTAATAAATTTAAACATATTATATTGTGCAAAATTCAATTCTAAAACTTCTTTCCTCTTAATTATTCTTCCAAAATGCATAGGTTCCAAGACAGGTATAAGTAAAAAACTTGGATAAAATAGGTATATTTTAAATTTCTTAAACATTTTTGCAATTTTGCAAATATTCCGGACCTCGCCCAGATCAAGAGATCTACACTTTTATTATGTGGGATGTACTGAAGGTAATCCAGAAAAAAAATGTTTGCCCCCTCTCACATCCACCTTAAAACAGATCCGCCCTGATATATAACATGATTCCAGGTATTTCAATGCATTCTAACGTATTTCCACGTATTTAGTGCTTTTTCAGGTAGTTCGAAGTGTTTCAAAAGTTCCCGATGCATTTCTAATACTATTTTGATATACTTTGCAGTTTTCGAAATATTTCGAGTGTTTCGGGCGATTTTAATTAATTGGAGGAACTTTGATGCGCCCTGAAATTATTATGACTGTTTTGATGTATTTTGTTTTTCTTTTGTTTCTCCAAAGTTGTCTTAAAGAGGGAACCACCTGACAGATAAACTTATCAAAAGAGGTAAAAGATTTTTTCTCGTTTAAATTTATCTCTTTGGCTACCTTTCCACTGCAGATCCCGTTTTACTTAAGATAGCCAAAATCCTGAACGACAATCTTGCCAAATCGTCTAAGAGTTAGACATTTTTTCTCATTTAAGTATGACATTTTAACTCGTCCTTTGGATCCCCTAACCCTCTGCGGGTTCATAAAATTTTATTTTAAGATAGCCTACACCTTGATAGATGAACCTATCAAAGGAGAATCGTTTCCCGAAGATCGTCTCGGAGTTAGAACTCTTTTTTTTTTGCGAAACAAGTTGTTTTAGGTTTATTGCAGTGCTGGTTAACGGTAATGTAAGTTAAACAGGTAATAACTTTGTCCATTTTGCGAATAAAATGGAGCAGATCTTTTATTTAAAATGCGCAGTAATGTCAAAATTTCGAGGTCTACAGTGATAATGTTCCCCGGATTCTCCACCACCGCGCATTTATATCCAAATTCAGTGGATGTTTGTAAGAGCACTTTTTCCTATTTCTTTTCAAGGAGTCTCCACCTATTTTTGCGCTATTAATGAAAGTTTCTAGATTTATTTTGGGGATATATCGGGTAACGCCTAAAAATGTACCTTTCCGTTGATGACCGCTTGGACCGTGAGTACATTGGCACTCCTGTGACACTCGAGGACCTCGCCTGGCAGCCAATGGCCCACCCCAGGGTCGAACCAAATCAGATCCCCCGTGTTCCACTCCATGTTCACCGCACTAACACTCACACATATTCACAAGGTATCTGAAACAAAGAAAATATATTATTTAGATCGCCTACCACCCAGTTTACAAAATTTGTGAATTCAATGAATTTTTTTTTCGAAGATAAAAATGTTTGACCCTCAGAAACTTCGATTTGCTTGTTATTTTATTTCTCTAGGATGATTTTTGCCAAGTTACAGCATTTAGAAAGTCTCTTAAATATTTAGGACTTTCTTTATCCTTCAATTTTTGTGACTAGCGTTATTATATTAGGGATGATTTTATTCCAGATCTCAGCGTAACAGTACTGTACATGTCACCGACCTGTGATTTATTTAAAAAAACTGTTACATAAAGCAAACCGAGGAATTTGAAGACGGCTGAGTAGTCTCTTCAGTAGCTTTCGATTGTGCAATAGTTTTTATTCATGATTTAACTCGCCAAATATTCAACCATTAAGCCAATATAGGTCAGCAGTTTTTAGTAGTGTAATTATTGCTAAACATTTCACATTAGATGCAGTCGTAATTTTACTGAGAATTTGATGAAAATTTCTATTACTATGAACCTTTTTTCTTCGTAGTTTTGCGAGCAAGATATACTCTCACTTTCTGAGATTGACTGTTATTTTTATTATTTCTGAAATAAACTTACAAACAAGCAGTTGCAAGAAGAAGCTATCAATGATGATTTTCAAAAATTGTTACCTATACTGAGTGTTAACGAAATCACAAAAGTATGTTCAATTTTTTTGTTATTATCTAAAGCTGAAGCTGAATTTTTTGCTGAATTTTCAATTTTAGTCAGAATTGATTATGGCTAGAAGTTAAGGGAAGATTTTAGAAATTTAAAAAAATCGCAACGAGCAGAAAAACGAATGAATTTTGTAATTTTCAATATACTCTAAAAAATGTAGAGACACTTTTTTTTTATCGGCGGAAAAACATATTTACGGAGTGAAATACACCCTCAAAGTTCGCCCCCAAAACAATTTTTTCAAAATTTCTGGGGTTCTAATCAATATTTTGAAATGAAACAAAATGGAAATTACTTATGATAAAAAACAAATATTTCGCAAGTGATTCCGTGTTGCTACCGTTACTTTTTATTTCAGAAAAACTATATTTTTTCCTTATAAAAAAATCATATTTACTCAAAAAGACTTAAAAATATGATTTATGTAAACAAATTGACAAAATTAAATTGACCTGTTTCGGGATTTTCGTTAAAATCTCTGTTTAGTTATAGCTAGTTATAGCTTTCTTATTAAAAATTAAAAAATATATATATGTCTGAAAAGAAAGGTTACATTTTTTAGAGTAGATCGAAAAAAAAATTACAAAATTCATTCATTTTTCTGCATATGATTTTTTTAAATTTCTTAAATCTTCCCTTAACTTCTAGCCTCCCTAACTCTGTTAATTTTAATAATACAAGAAAAAGTCAAGAGGCCATTTTTATGCTGAATTGTATGCTTTACAATTTTTATACGAAACTTTTTTTTCTAACCCTTACCTATTTTGTGTTATCTTGAAAAACCCCCTTGTTCTATCTTTTTTTCACCCTAGGTCGGGGGTTGAATAAAAAATTACTGTCACTTATTGTTATAACATACTAACTCATCAAAAATTCAGGCAAGTTGACCAAAATTTCGATTTAAATGCTTATTTAATTAGACTATAAACTTGTATTGTTAGCACATAAACAATATAAATTGTAGAAGGATTTCCTTTGATTTTAAATCTTGTGAAAAATTCTTCAGTTTTTGTATCGATTTTTTTCCGAAAAAGCGAATTAACAGTTTTATTTTGATCATAACTCTGTTAATTTTTATGCTAATGACTTAAAGTCAAGTTCATTTTAAAGATATTTTAAAGTACTTTTAAAAATGTTCGGTGCATTTTTCTTAAAAAATTGAATTTTTTTAGTTATTTTACGTTAAATGCTTCCAATTAAGTTTCTGCATTTATTGCACCTACGTAAATGAAAAAAACTCAATCTTTTTCTTTTTTTATAAGCTTCATTTTCTTCGAAATGTTATTTTTTCATAGAATGCCCATTTTCCGAGTTATTTGAGAAAAACTACTAAAAAACGTCTTTTTTTATTAAAGTGTACATTTTCAATCACCAATAACTCAGCAAATATTGACTTATAGAAAAATGTTCATACGATACTTTTTGCTTAAAATAGATTGCTTTATCGATTCCTGGGTTTTCAATTTTCAATATTTAATTTTTCACCTCCTAGAAGGGGTGGCTTCCACCCCCTGGGCAAAAGCGTTCATTGGCACTATATAACATTTCTTTCTTGAGCTATTTTCCACATACAGTCCAAGTTCTCTCCATATTAGAGGTAATACCCGAAGTAAAAATAATGATAATGAAAGACGACATGGCGCCCAACGTGGGGCCGAAATATCCGAGAAGCTAAAATGATTGAACACGACAATCTAAACTTATACCACATAAGCAACGTATTAGAAAATGATTCTTACATTGCCATAATGCCAGATAAACTTTTTGGTTCATATCTCCGTCACTGTTAGAGATATATCAATACGGAAAGATATCTCTCATTTAAGGGGACACCTTGTATAATTTATCATTTCTACAACTAGCGACGCACTGCTGGGAGGAATTTTTCGCGACCGCCGCGAATATAAATAAACATTATCGAAAAGCGCGATTTCCATAAAACCTCAAGGTCACTCCGACATTCTTTCGCGGCGTCGAGAGACCACTCGCGTTAGTCAGCGCCTTAAATTCCGAATCGCGATTACTTAAGCTCGTATAACTGTACAGGCGGCGAGGCAACGCCCTATACATATATGCAAATTTCATATTTCGCCCATAAACCGACGCCGATGGCCGCAACAGAGGCGTATGTGCTGTTATAAATCGGCCGTAACTAGTTTTCAGCAATAAATAAACAACAATAATAGTCCCACAGACCGCTCAATGGGACAGGATTTATACTTGCGGGTACAGTTTTTAAAAACAGCCTACGGTCGAACTCGACAAAAATGGGGACGCGAAAGGATCTTTGCAATATTCACAAATTATGTGGTTTTCAGTTAAAAAAAGAAAAATTTCAGGTTTGCAGCACCACGTCCATAAATTGATCAGAAGAAATTGGTTAAAAGATGGTGCTATCTTTTTATCAGTGGCGGTTGGTGTGGGGGGCACGTGGGCGGTGCCCCCCTAAAAATTTTCGTAGTAAAAAAATTTAATTTAGAATTTAGTTTTCAATATCATTTAGTAAATGGATTAGCCTTATGAAACACATTAAAAAGGAAATCTTAAATTTGTAATGTGCAGTCAATTTAACCCGACTCTCAAAATTTGTTTCAAAAACTATGTCTTCTCCTTTTCGCAATTATAATATGAATGAGTAATAGGTGCCTACAATAAATTAAAATTGCCTGATTCACACCAAATTCCGTATTGCTACACTGCACTACTAAGCAATTTGTCAACCACTTGTCAACAACTGAGATTTATCGCCCAGTGGGCCAGTGCGGCTGTGTTACACGCCGTTTGCCCGCGTGCGCATTCTTTAACTGGGCGAATACATTTCTACCACCTCCACGTTTAGTTTGACCAGACCTGTATATGGGTATGACCAAATAGATATGGGAACAAGTTTTTCAATGCCAAGTAGCTGCGTTAGCGACCGAAGCTGGTATATACTGCCAACTTCTTGGTTCTTCAATTGAGATTAGAAAGAGTATACAATATACTGGATAATTTATTGGTCAAATTTAACACTACAAATATTTTAAATTAAGATCATTTATAATAGTCTAAATTTATATTATATAGAACCCAATTTATTAGAAAAAAAAAAAGAACTGTACCAACAACGTTCCCCATAAATTTAACGTAACTTTATTAATCGACATATTTGTAATTTTTTAATTGTATTTGATTGTACTAGCCTTTGTAACGGCAATATTTCATGGCAGTTTTTTTAGTCATATTTTTAATGTTAGTATTTTTAACAACTGACTGTCAAATGTTTGTTGCGGCATGTATTTACTTCATTATTTTTAAGAAATAATTATTTATCCAAGCAGTAAGTGCTTTTAGTGACAAAAATCGAATTTTTCTAGTGAAAAGAAATGGTTATAATTTAAATAAAGAAAACAACATTAAACAATTACCTATTTATTATTTTTTACATTAAAAAGTAAGTAATTGGGACGCGACATAAAAATAATTCTCTAACAAGGCCGAAGGCCGTATTTGACAATAGGTAGAGTGCTAAAAGCACTTTTTGCACTTATAATTCTGCAAAGTTATTATTTTTCCTACAAACGTCTTTTAATAATTATCTAATTAATATTTAATTTAATAAATTAGTAAGCAGTTAATTAGTTGTGATTAACTGTCAACGTGACCCAGCATAAAACGATATTTAGAATCAGGTTGTAACAAAAATAAAGCAGCCTACTTCGAAGACATATGAGTATAGAACTCTCAAAAATAATGATGACAAACAAGCAATATAATTTTTTTTTCGGGAACTATTTCCGAAATTCCGAACAATTTTATGTTTTCTCAAAATATCTCCTAAAGTACTTTTTCGAAAGACTTAAAATTTGTTATACTCTAAATACCAGGCATGATCTGTAATCTATATTGTAGAAAAAGAATATTTCGTCAAAATATGAGTACAATTAAAATATGAGAATATTGTTCAAAATGTTAACATAGCAATTTTATAATAAAAACCTTATAAATGCACCCCTGCACAAATGAAAAGTTTATAATAATCTATTTCTTACTTTAGTTGTTGGTTTGGAGCAAAGGTTATTCTCAAAAAATACACAAAATTGGTCATGGTTTGCAAAGCAATTCTTTTGATTTCAAAATTATTATTGGGTTTTGAAGAACTATAAGTAAGAGTGACGAATTTGTAACAATTGTAACCTTCACTACTTTTAACTACTATTATACTTTTTAAATAGAAACCTTTGTTTATGGAAATCTGGGACCACGAACCTCTCAATAAGAAGAAACATGACACGAAAC